ACAGGTACCCTTAGACCGTCTGGCTGTTGGTGCGTCCTTTTTCACAGCCCCCGTTTCCTTCTTCTCTGTCACCACAGCACTGCCATTGCGCCTCGAACACGCCAGGCGAGAGAAAGGCAGGGTTTCTTGCACCCCCTCCCGCCCCCCTTGGCCTCGTTTTTTCTCCACACCTCCCTCCCAGCTAGTTGGACTCCAAGTCAAGGACCTTGCCTTTGGACTCCAGTTGCAAGGACTTCAGACTCCCCCCCCCCCCCCCGGGCCAGGGCTACCCTACCTTGTTCACTGGTTCCCGGCCAGTCCTTAAAAAATCCCAAGCCTCTCCCTCGCTTCACTGCTCGCGGATGTTTACTCCACCTAACGTTCCCTCTTGTCCCCGATTATCAAGTACCCGTTCCTTCACTTGAACCTCGAGCAGGCTCACCTACTTGCCCATCGGCTAGATTCTTTCATTCACAACTGCTTCGTGGTTTTGCCATCACTCAAGAGTTCCGTGAGCTCACACACTGCCTTCTCAGTCTACCACTTGAATCGCGAACTGCCCCCCAGCTATTCCAGCACCTCAGACGAACGTTGTCTGGCACAAAACACCCTTCATCGAACAATTCGAGCCAAGCTTGAGTCACTCATCTCGCTTCGAGCCCAGCCTCAGCGAATCACCTTGACTTCACGTCTCTTATAAGTCCTTGGACCTTTGCACACGCATACCAGCACCACAAGACACTATACACCATCCACCACCACAATGAAGACTTCTGCCATTCTCTGCGCTGCCCTGGCCACCACGGCCTTGGCCCAGCCTCATTTCAACGGCAACAAGCGCCGTCACGTCCACAACAAGCATGCCAAGCGCGCCCTGGTCACCGAATGGGTCACGGAGACCGCCTACGTTACTGAGTACTATGATGCGACCAGTACCGTCTGGGTCACCCCTGGTGCCGAGTCTGAGGAGCCTGAGCCTTCCAACACCAAGGACGCCCAGTTTTTCGAGCCCGAGAAGCCTACTGTTGCTCAGCCCACCACCACCGCCGCGCCGCCTGCTCCCGAGCCTAAGGTTCCTGAGCCCAAGGCTCCTGAGCCCGAGAAGCAGGAGCCCGAGGAGCAGGAGCCCCAGCCTCAGCCTATCGCCCAGCCGGAGACAACTACCACCTACCAGGCCACCCCTCCTCCTCCCACCACCCCCACTCCCACTCCACTCCTACCCCTGAGCCCACGCCCGAGCCCGTCACGGAGGAGCCCACCGAGGAGCCTGCTCCTGAGTCCCCGGCCGAGGGGTCCAAGAGCTCCGACAGCGGTAGCAGCAGCGCCCCAAGCGACAGCCACTCTGGCGACCTGACATACTACGATGTCGGTCTTGGTGCCTGCGGTTTCGATGACACTGGCAAGGACAACTCGGACAACATTGTCGCCCTTTCGCACCTCCTCATGGGCACCCAGTCCAACGGCAACCCCATGTGCGGTCAGACCATCACCGTCAGCGCCAACGGCAAGGAAGTTGTTTGCACCGTCCGCGACAAGTGCATGGGCTGCGAGCCCGAGGCCATCGACGTGTCCAAGGCCGCCTTCCTCGAGCTCTTCGGCTCGCTGACTGCCGGTCGCACTGAGGTCAAGTGGTGGTTCAACTAAGTACTCCACTCCCGGAGACCTTGGCGTTTCTCCCACAAAGGATCCACCAGTGGGCTTCAGTCCAGGCTGGCAATCTTTTTGACGATATCATGACCCTGGAGTATACCAATTTTCAGATTCCTCCTTTTTTTTTTGGTGGATCTACAGATGATTTCGCCCCAATAAGGTGTTCACACAGGGGAACAGAGCTCTTGGATTCAGACGCTCAAAGGTTGGACAGGCTGGAAGGGATTAAATGGTGTTTTGTCATCTTTTGGGCTATAGACTTTTATCATTCTCTGTATATACTTCGCTCACCTTGCCTGCCCTGTCTGTTCGGCAGGGCAGGTTAAGAGGTAGTCCACAGGATTTGGATGAGTAACACAATGAAACATATCAAGGATGAAACAACTCAATCGGCGGAATGTAACTTTATGCTGATCGATGTGTATGCAACGCGTGGGAGAAGTGAGCCTTGAACTTTAAATTTTAGGTTGGGTATCATCAGAAGAATATTGAACACCAAAAAAGGGAGGGCTAGGCGTAATGGAGACGAGGCCGCCGTGCTCAAGCTTGTCTCGACCCCTCACCTTCTGGTGCGTCTACTGCATTCGCGTTGCCTCCTGCCTCCGCCATCTCGACGTCATCATCATGGCCTTCTATCCGGAATGTGCCCTCGAGGTCGGACCATTTATCTGGCGTAGGCGTCGATAACTCCTCATCCGAGTTCTCTCCGTTGTCCATGAGCAGCTCGGGACGGTCCATGACGGCCTGCCCTCCAGCAATGGCACCCTTGCCCCTGCCACGTCCCCGCGCATGCCATCTGACCCTGTTCTTGCGCCCGTCGGCCTTGGGTCGACCGCTCGGCAGCGGCTTTCTCCTCTTCCTCGCCCCTTCGTCGTCGTCGTCGGCGGCGCCGTCGCCGCCAGCGCGCCTGCCGGCCCCCTTCCAGCCGCCGCGGCGGACGCGCGGAATGGCAGACAGCCTGTCCCGGTAGGCGGGCGCCTGGGCGTAGACCGTCACATCGTCCTTCTCCTTCTTCTTGAGCTTGAGGGCCATGAGGTCCTCGAGGAAGCGCGTCTGGATCTTGCGCTCGCCCGTCTTGTCGCCCCAGACGGGGATGCGGATGCCGTGGCGCAGCTTGATGTCACGGAAGCGGTCGGGGCCCTGGTCGGCGACGTGCTTGGGCGCGACCTTCATCTCGGTCGTTGCCATGCGCGCCCAGCTGGCGGCGAGGAGGTCGACGTCGCCGGGCAGGGAGCGCAGGCACGGCAGGCGGCGGCCGCGGTGGTCGGGCGTCTGGTCGGCGAAGAGGAGCTCCGTGCCGAGCACGCGGGACCAGGAGCCCTTGAAGATGCGGTTGCGGTAGCCGAAGAGGGGATGCTCGGTGTGGAGGTCGAGAATCTGGATCTCGTCGACGGCCGGCTCTTCGCTTTCTGGAAAGGCGTCCTTGCCAGTGCCGCCGCCGCCGCCGCCGCCGCCGCCGCCGTCGCCGTCATGGCCGGCTGCTTCGGGGTGCTGTCGGCTTGTGCCTCCCTGGCCTTGTTCGTCCTCCAGTTCTTCGTCTTCCTCGTCATCGTCTTCGGGTTCGGGCAGATCATCGTCCTTGTCTTCTTCGTCCGAATCGAGGCGGTGATGGGTCATGGCAGGTCGTTTGCGCTGGGAGGGTTGGGTCCAGCTCTTATGTTGGTGGCCGCCTCGAGTGGACGCGGGAATGGGTCGCCATCGGCGCGCAAATTGGGGGATGGATAGGTCGACCGTCATGTAGTATGTCTGAATGGACGTCAGCTGTTGCGTGGAAAAAGGTGCGGCTGGCGCTTCGTGCCTCTGTCTCGGTGGAGGAGTACTCGTACTCCCAGTCATCTTCGTTCTCAGCCTCTGGTGGTGGTTGTAGAATTAGTGGAGGAGGATCGGCCGAGGCACTGGCGGCCGCGACTGAAGTCGGGAATGCTGAAGACATTCCGGAAGCCCTGTGAAGTCGAATTATGGATACTGTGAACGCTGATCAATTGAATCGGGAGGAAAACGGTGGAGGGCCGTGAGGTTGAGCTGTTGTTATGGTTGCAGAGGAGCAAGTGTCACTGGGGAGAGATTCCCGAGCTTGACATTTGGGTCCGATAAGATAAGCAAGCAGTGCCCCTCCTCGAATGCCGACTGTGACTGACTGCCCCGCTGTCGCAGCCAGCGCCAAATTTCCATCTCCAGCATCGAGAGACCTCCATCCGACACTGAGTCACATAACATACCGTCCCATATATTACTCGCAAGCCGACCGAGGAACTTGCAGCACGCGAATAATCATTCTTGTCTCTCTCTCGAGACATCGGCATAAGCCTCCCACCATCCATCCCTCGCCATCCCTCCAGACACAGACACAATGCCGACCGTCCACCTCTTGGACTATGTCGCTGGAAATGTGCGCAGTCTGGTGAATGCCATTGAGAAGGTCGGCTACCAAGTTGAGTGGATTCGCAAACCGGAAGATGTTCCTTCAGCAGAAGTACGATTCTCTCTCCTCGCTTGCTCGCTCCCCCCCCTTCTCTGAGTCATAACTGACGATGCCACTACCAGAAACTCATCCTGCCGGGCGTAGGCCACTTTGGTCACTGCCTGTCCCAGCTTGGACAGGCGGGCTTCCTCCCCGCTATTAAGAAACACATCGAGTCCGGCAAGCCATTCATGGGCATCTGCGTCGGTCTGCAAGCCATCTTCGAAGGATCTCTAGAGGACCCCGAGACTGCCGGCCTGGGCGTCATCAAGGCCAAGCTCGACCGTTTTGATGATTCGACAAAGTCGGTCCCTCACATCGGTTGGAACAGCGCCAACACTGGCGGCGCCGAGATGTACGGGCTCCGACCCGACTCCAAGTACTACTACGTTCACACGTACAAGTGCCCCTACAAGAGGGGGGAGCTCGAAGCCGCAGGCTGGACGGTGGCTACGGGAACCTACGGCACGGAAACTTTTGTCGGCGCAGTGGCCAAGGACAACGTCTTTGCCACACAGTTCCACCCCGAAAAGAGCGGTGTCGCCGGTCTGCGCACCCTCGAGGCCTTCCTCACGGGTCAAGGTGCCAAGGCGCTCGCGGCCAGGCCGGCCGACCAAGCCGCGCTGCCCTCGGCGGCTGATCTCAGCTTCCAGGACGGCCTCACCCGCCGTATCATTGCCTGTCTCGATGTGCGTACCAACGACCAGGGCGACCTCGTCGTCACCAAGGGCGATCAGTATGACGTGCGCGAGAAGTCTGAGGGCGGCAACGTGCGCAACCTCGGCAAGCCGGTCGAGCTCGCTCGGCGCTACTACGAGCAGGGGGCCGACGAAGTGACGTTCCTCAACATCACCTCCTTCCGCGACATGCCCCTGGCCGACCTGCCGATGCTGGAGATTCTGCGACGCACGTCCGAGACGGTCTTTGTGCCACTGACTGTCGGCGGCGGCATCCGCGACTCGGTCGACACGGACGGCACCAAGGTGTCGGCTCTCGAGATCGCCACCATGTACTTCAAGTCGGGCGCCGACAAGGTGTCGATCGGCTCCGACGCTGTCATGGCCGCCGAAGAGTACCACGCCGCCGGGCGCAAGCTCTTTGGCAACACGGCCATCGAGCAGATTGCAGGCGCCTACGGCAACCAGGCCGTCGTCGTGTCGGTGGACCCGAAGCGCGTGTACGTGCCCAAGCCGGACGCCACGCGCCACGCGACGGTCGCGACGAGCCAGCCGGGCCCCAAGGGCGAGGCCTACTGCTGGTACGCGTGCACCATCAAGGGCGGCCGCGAGACGCGCGACGTCGACGTCGTCGAGCTCGCGCAGGCCGTCGAGGCCATGGGCGCCGGCGAGCTCCTGCTCAACTGCATCGACCGCGACGGCACCAACTCGGGCTTTGAGCTGGAGCTCATTGCCCAGGTCAAGGACGCCGTGCGCATTCCCGTCATCGCCTCGAGCGGTGCCGGCCACCCCATGCACTTTGAAGAGGTCTTTGAGAAGACGCGCACCGACGCCGCGCTGGGCGCTGGCATCTTCCACCGCGAGGAGTACACGGTGAAGCAGGTCAAGGACTTTCTCGCCGAAAAGGGGCTCAAGGTGCGCCAGTTTGAAGGCGACCTGTAGAGCGGGTTGGATGCGGGGGTCATGTCACTCCGTGGGAAGGGGGGGGTTCATAAAATTTTAGACTTCAAGATCACGGCGGGATGGATGGATAGTTTTTGTTTTACTTCGATTTAGCCAGGAGTTATGTGACGTTGAGACGTGCCGCCGTCGCGACAAGTACAGAACATGCATGACAAGAACAATCTTTAGTGAAAAAGATGAAAAAAAAGGGTAATTCCAACGTTCAGTGAGATCCTACTCCATTGCAGACTGTGACGCCATTGAAAGAGAAGACAAAAATCCGTATACGTAGACTGAGCACTTCAACTCCTCAAACGATGAAACCCGAAGCAAGGTACCAATGTGTAAAATAGCCTTCCGATCACAGCCGGGGAGAGCGTACCCAAAGCAGTCGAGAACAATTCTGTTGTTGCGAACAAGTCTGCTGTGTGATGGGCTCTTGCGAGCATCTGCGAGGTCTGAAGACGGAGCTTTCAAAGCTAACATGACGAGAAAGATGGAGGGGGATAGGGAGAAGTAAGATGGGGGAGGAGGTGAAGAAGAAGGGTCGAGGAGGAGGAGGTGAGGAGGAGGTGAGGAGGAGGTGAGGAGGAGGTGAGGAGGAGGTGAGGAGGAGGTGAGGAGGAGGTGAGGAGGAGGTGAGGAGGTGAGGAGGAGGTGAGGAGGAGGTGAGGAGGAGGTGAGGAGGTGAGGAGGAGGTGAGGAGGAGGTGAGGAGGAGGTGAGGAGGAGGTGAGGAGGAGGATAGAGGCCGTCAAAGACGGGACGTCAGGAGCAGAAACGCCCACATGGGACGAATGGAAAATGAAGAGTGAGAACTCTACAGCTCCATGCCCATGAAGAGCCATTCCTTGCTCGTGACATCGAGGTCCTTGGCCCAGTTGTCGAGCGTTGTTAGCTCAAAGCCGACCCACTGGAGACTCTTCATGAGACTCTTTGCATCGCGCTCTTCGATGCGGCGGTCGAGACAGACCACCAGGTGCTGGCAGTCGAGCGGCGTGTCGGCCAACTCGATGAGCGCCATGAGGCTGGGATAGTATGTTAGCCATGCTTTCTAGATGATCTTGAGGAATGCGGGGATCGACCACATGGTCCAGGCAACAAGGGGATGGAAAACGTACGCTTTCTTCAAGTCGACACCGACAACGTTGCCATCGAAGAATACGAACAGGGACCTCTCGAGGCCGTCGTCTCCCACGAAGGCGCGGAAGCTGGCGCCGCCGGCAAAATCCCAGATCTCGAGCCAGGCCGTGACGACGGTGCCGGAACCGGCAAGGTCGTCGTCGTGGCGCTGGACGCCGTGCTGCGTCTTGGCGGCCGCGAAGCCGTCCCTGCCGCCAAAGTAGCTGGCGTCCGGATTGTCGTTGGGCGGCGTCGGTAGCAGCGCGTGAACACCCATCAGGCCCGAGGCTTTCGCATCCGCGTTCCGCTCACCCTGGAACACGGCCGACATGCGCTCGCAAAAGAATCTCTCACATTCTTCCCTGATTGAAAGTGCTGCCCCCCCTCGTCGGGACCTCTTGCTGCTGCTGCTGCTGCTGGCGCTGCCGCGCTTCCTGGTCTTGGGCAGCAGGGCCAGCTCGTTCGAGGCCGTGATGGCGGCGAGGGGGGGGCTTGAGGGCGGGGATGGTATTCCTGAGGAGGGGACCTCAGGAATACCACTCTGCCCCGGTAGCCCCGGTAGTGCAGTAGTGGAGGCCCTTGAGGAGGCCGGCGGTGTCGACAATGTAGCAGCTGGCAAGGACGTTGGCCTGACGGACAACGACCTCGCCATGATTACTACTGGATTGATTATTGTTGTTTTTCATGGGCGACATTTTGGCGGTGGGTTTCCTGGGGGTCGAGTTCGTCAAAAATTGTTTGGTGGGTTTGGCAGGCGAGAGGGTTCCTGGAGGACGTCGGAAAGAGCTGGCGAAGTGAGGTTTGGTGGTTGATTGCAAGTGTCTTGAGGCGGTTGCGTCTGTTGATCAGATCAAACAGAGAGGGCAAGTAGCTGGTGGGCTGGTGGGTTGGCGGGCGGCGTAACGTTTGGAGTGCTGGGCGAATCTGGACGAGGTGAGGAGACAGAGAGGTGGACGGACGGGAGGACGGCGGAAAAGGGACACAAATAGAGGAAAAAGGTGTTCAGAAAGGGTGGATCGGGCGGCGTTACACCATGAGACGGATCAGGTTAGGCTGCCTTGGCTGCCAAAACCAGGTGCCAAGGAGCATGCAGCTGACCTGTCTTGCCTGTCTCCACCCCGCTGCAGCACTGCGGCACTGCGGGGTTGCGGTCAGGTCAGTGTCGGTGTGGCCACTGAAGGACCCTGCAACCATGCCTGACACCTGTACATAGCGTTCAATGTGCATGGTGATCGATGTGCCAGAGCCAACCTGCCTAACATGCACCATGCCAAGCCAAGGCATTCAGGTATTCATCTGCCAACCGGGAAGCCTGGGACGGGCTCGGACTCCGGATCAGGGACCAACCACCTGTGAGGTACATGTACATGTAGAGAGGCTACGACCACCTTCCGCTCCCTCTCTGCCGCCTTCTCGCAGGTTCTGGTGGAGGAGGTGGCCCAGAATCGGATTGGCCGGAGTATGAATAAAGGCTGCCCGTCATCCTAGCCTTGGGTGTCGTTACGTACCTGCCTACTGATTAGGTACGTATGTGTAGGTAATTGCCACGGCTCTATTATTCAGAACACACCACTATGACTGAAAACACAAGGCATCAGAATCTTGGCTCCTATTCTCCCATTCGCTGCCGCCTCCAACCTCATTGTCATCTGTTGCCCGTCCTTGCTCGTAGGGACTTCCCTGATCATTACCGTCTAGTATACCAAATTGTACAACGGCAACTTTTTCCTTTGCCTTGGTAGTACCACCAATGTGGGACTCTCCTCATACTCTCTCTATCTAATAATAAATGAAAAGCCAATGCTCCAAAGCCGCGTACATGACGCACACACCATGCCACTCTGCAAAAGTCACTCTGCAAGTCACTCTGCAAGTCACTGCAGAAGTCACTCTGCAAAAGTCACTGCAGAAGTCACTCTGCAGAAACAGATCTGCAATAGACACCCCATCAAGGCTTGCGGGCCTCGACGTTGAACAGCGGCGGCATGAAAGCCATGCCCTTGCCACCGGCCCGCCTCGCGCGGACGTGCGCCCGCAGCATGTCGAGAATCTCGCTGCCCTTCCAGCGCGCCGGCACGGGGCGGTACGCGGGCTTGAAGGTGCCCACCGTCTGCGCCCACTCGCCCGTGCCCTGCTCGCGCACCTGGACGTCCTCGGCGGGCTTGGGCGTGTCGGCGTGGCCGTGGTTGCCGGCGTCGATGGTCTTGGCGGCGCCCGGGTTGACGCCGCGGTAGGACTCGCCGCCGGCGACCGTGGCGCTGTCGAGGTCGAGCTCCTTGTCCTGGTCCTTATCCTGGCTCGTGGACGACGAAGGGCGCAGCTTTGTGGGCGTCGTGTCGGGACCGGGCGACTCGTCCTGCGTGGCCCAGTAGTATATGTCCCAGTCGTTCTCGTCGAGGAAGAGGTCGTACTGCTGCATCTGGGCGTGGCTCATGGTCGGCAGATGCGTGTCGGCAAAGGTCGAGAGGAGCAGGTCAGACTCGAGGGTTCCGCGCTTGCGGCACTGGTCTGGAGGGGGGCAGTCTCTGTAAGCATTTTGCTAGTCTGCGAGAGGGAGACGGAGACGGAGACGGAGACGGAGAGGAAAGGCATTGCACGTACAGAGAAGCCGCGCTCGCATGGTGGTCGCATCCTCGCCCGTGCGGCGCAGAGGCTCAATCTTAAACTTGGCGCCCTGGAGCTCGCCGACTTCAAGATCGTGCTGGATCTGCGAGTCGATCTGGATGGGGTCGGGTTTGGAGGCAAAGGTGCGCAGCACGGCTGGAGCCACGGGCCGAAGGAGGCTCGGTCGGCAGACGGGCCTGGCTAGACTGCGCATGACTGAGGCCATTGTGTGCTTTATTTTCTTCTGTCGTGTTTCCGGGGGTGGCGGTGGGCGTGGTTATGCGGGAGAGATTCAATTCAAACGACGGGGTCCAGCCTTCGCAGAAACCATCATGACGCCGTAATGCACCGGCAGGTGGCGCTTGCTCTTTTCGACCGAGGTCCTGAATGATATGTCATGCAGCATCTGATTGGACAAGATGAGAAACCGAGAGCATTGGGGGCTGTCATTGTGTGTGCACCTGGCATCTGGCAGCCCACAGCTGGCAGACGCTTCCCTGATGTTCAACTGCTCACTGCCCATCCTTGCCATCCTTGCCATCCTCTACATCTTTTCGTCAACTCGGCGTCACCTCTCTTGGGTGGGTACAAGCAAGTAGCCGGCCGGCAGATTGATAGGCGTTTACTGTTTGTCGTTGGACCAACCCTCGACCTCCTGCAGCAATTGGGCAGCCATACTGTCACGTTGAGCTTCACCGAATGCACGACAGCAGCAGTACGGAAGCCAAGTGGCGAGGTGCAGCTGCATCCCCTCCATCACCCATGAATCATGCATCGCAGAGCCAAAAGGGCCATGACCTTGGTTTGACGTTATCAGCCATTGCTAAGGCGTTTTCGACTCGGCGTCTGTTCAGCATGGGATTGCCTCTGGACATGTGCCGACTCGACCCCTCATCGCCTCGTGCCTGTGCATGTGCATGTCACTGCAGGTAAGGCTTATGACATTCCATCCAGCACACGAAAATAATGCTTGTGCACCTTCACGCAGTCAGTTCGACGACAGCCACAAAGAGGAACAGCAAAGAGCCATGGCTGGCATGACAAGGCAGCGGCGAGACCAGACTTTCACCGAAACATTAAGGCCACACCCGAGCATCGAGCGGCGTGCGTCGGATGCGGGGTGACTAAAGGCAACCCCAACCTTACGGCTCCTTACGGCTGTCGATCAGGCGCTGACACACTGTCTCTCCCTCCCGCCTGTAGCCTGTCGCCAGTCGCCCGGCCCTGTTTCGCTCGGTCTTGGACGCTACTCCAAACCGTACCACGTCAGATGCGTCCTCACTACCGGCCGGCTTATGCCACCATCCAGACAACCAACCATCGCTCAACATCCCTCTAGCCTTGCCAATAAGCGCGACCTCCCCCGTAACTGGTGACCGACAGGGTGGTAGTGGCATGGCGGTCTCTCCTCCTTCATACCCCCATGCTCATTGCTCACCACCGCCGAACCGCATTCGATACCCTTGCTATGTGAAGCCTAGCAGCTGTGGCCTCCAGCACAGAGCAAAGCAAAGAAAGAAAGAAAGAAAGAAAGACAGACCAAAAAGATCCCCATAGCAACAAATAATTTTCATCATCCCCAACCTTTCTTCTCGTCGTTGATAGAACATGGCCCCCTCCTCCAAATCGCCCGACCTCAAACCTCTGTTCCCCTCCTATCTCCTTCCCGCATTCAAGCTGCCCTTTACCCGCCGTCCTCGCCAGCCGAGCACATCCAACACCTCCGACGTCCCCTCGCTCAGCAGCTCGCCAACGTCCTCCGCCCCAAGCTCAGCAGCCGGCTCGCCGCCCTCCTCGCTGCCCGAGCGCTTCGGCCCCAGCAACACCATCAGCAGCAGCACGGCCGCCAGCAGCAGCACAGCGAGGCGCCTCTCCCGCACAAACCCCGACACCCTCCGCTGCTCCACCTGCGCCTCCGACATTGCCTTTGCCGCCCAGATCGTCAGCAAGGGTTTCACGGGCCGCTACGGCCGCGCCTACCTCGTCGCGCCCCCGAGCCCCGCTGCCCCGTCCCTGTCGTCCCTGTCGTGCTCCACCCCGCAGGCTTCGCCTTCCCGCCCTCGACCTCCTCAACGTCGGCGTCGGCCGCTCGGAGAACCGCCAGCTCGTTCACGGGCTGGCACGTCGTCGCCGACATTACCTGCGCCGTGTGCCACGCCAGGCTCGGCTGGAAGTACGTAGACGCCCGCGAGGAGGCGCAGAAGTACAAGGTCGGCAAGTTCATCCTCGAGACGGAGCGCGTCGTCGGCTTCCGACGCTGGGAGGACGTGCCTGACGATGTCGACCTTGTCGTCGCGGACGGGCAGCTTGCGGAGCCTGCGTCCCGGCCTCGGTCCACGCGTGCTAAAGGCGACAACAACGATGACGACGACGACGACGACGACGGGCAGAAGAAGGGCGTGAATCCCGATGACGTCGTTTTCGACTCGGACGATGAGGATGAGTGCGAGGATATCTTTGCCGGCACGTGGGATCCTGTTGCTGTGGCTGAGAGGAGGGGCCGCAAGGCATCCGCCGCCAAGTGAGCCCGTCACCTTCATTCTCCGTGACGGACGATAACGACGGAGGCGCGAAATGGCTGTGATAAGCTGCTCTTTTTTTTCTTTTCTTTTTTTTCTCCTTTCCTAAAATGGCCTTGGGATTTACGAATCGGACACGAGGGGACACGGCATGACGGAATACCACAAGGTGACGACCCAAGGAACGGCCCAGACGTCCTTTGATACCCCTCTAGGATAGCTTTAGGGACGGCACGGCGCCAGCCTGGGCGCATGCCAGCTCACGATAATTTATTTCATCATCTTATGAATCTGGGCTCGTACCGGTCGGGGGGAATCGCATTCAAGAGAGGACGACATGTTCTCGTCGGCCCTGATCGCCATCATTAAACACGGCACGAGGAACTATGACAAGTGAGCACCCGAACAGGAAACAGGGCAGTTCAATCAAGCGTTCTATTGGGCTGAAATGTAATGTACAGGTACTGTCCGTTATTTGG